TCATGTATTCAAACGAGACTATTTTATTCTACTTTTCTGTGGTTCTGGGGATTGAACCCAGAGTCTTGAGCATCTAGGCAAGTGCGCTACCACTGAGTTGCAGCCCCAGGGCAAAACATGAACATGGAACCATCTAAAGGAGTAAAGCAGTGGTATCTAACGGGAAGTAAACACAAGTGTTAAAGAGATTTAGTGTGGCTCAAGAACATTCTGAGACACGGATTTTGTGCTTTTATTTTTATTTTATTATTTCTGGATGAAGTGGCTTTATTAAAGAAAGTAGCAAAGACTTAAGCAAAGGACTTAAGAATTAGAGACTTTCTTCTTGCCAAAGGTGGACACAACATTGACAAAGTGCCAGTTGTACTGCATCTGCCTCTTGGCCAGGCTTTTCTTTTTCCTCCTCCTCCTCTTCCTCCTCCTCCTCCTCCTCCTCCTCCTCCTCCTCCTGGTTGGCCACCTTGACAGTTTGACCTCTCACTTTTCCAGCTTGGGCCAGAGAACCTTGGACTTTACCTCCAAGCATGCATCCAGCTACTTTCCAAAGTAGAGTGGACCTCCACCCCACACTGGCCTAGAGTGGCCTCAGCCTCCAGTAGTGTGCCTGCCAGGAGCCCAACTTGATCTTCTGGGGTAATGCTCTCCATTGAGGCTATAAAAACCTTAATCTGGGTGGCCATCTCCTGGCCAGTTACTTCAAGGGTTTGTAACTCTTGGGCAGGGACAAAGAGCTGGATGTCGGTGACGAGCTGTGGCCCCAGCAGCCACTACTGTGAAGGTGGGAGAAAGAGGAAGAAGGGAGGGTGTGCTCACCCTTACCACCTGCTTTGTGCCACATCACTCCTTGATTTTGTGCTTTTTTTTTTTTTTTTTTAAAGAGTCTTTTCATTTTCTTTCTTGTCTTTTTCCTGTTTTTCTTTGCCTCAGGGAATCCATGGGCTGGGCAGAAAGCAGATAGGACTTCCAGGGTTGTGGCTGGAAGCACAGGAGAACTCCAGGCTCCTGGGAGGACACAGAAGGGAGAAGTGGTGAGGAAAGTCGCAGGTCCTCACCGGCAGGGACCTGGACCCTGTTCCGTGGTGGTGGCTGAGAGGTGGCAAGACCAGGGATGAGTGGCTAGGTGGCCTGTCCAGGGGGATACGACCACCCAGAAGGCTAAGTTAGGGCAGGGACAAGAAAAATCATGGGACCCAGACTTGGCATACTGGAGAGTCACCGGGACCAAAGCACATCCCTAGAGGCACTGCCCCCAAATGACTAAGATTAACTTGCCCCTGGTCTTGGAAGGATGGGGGTCCTCATGTAGAAATTCAGTTGACGTATGCAACAGGAAAGACACTGATGTGTCCTACACACCTGAGATTCACACCAGCACTGTGAGCCATGAGGAAACAAGTCCCACCAGGGCAGTCACCTACCACACATATTTGCAGAAGGCCCAACACCTATCAGCACTTGATACTCTTAAGGTTGGTCCTTGTGTGATCTTCTTAGTATCAATGTGTCTACCCCATGGAGGAGGAAACTGAGGCACGGGAAAGTAAGGAAACTTGCTCAAGGTCACACCACTATGTACCTGACTCAGGATGCTCACACGTGCACTTCCCAGAAGCCATGCTGGCCCCTCTGTCCCTTGGCTCTTTGCAGCAGGGGAGGAAGCATGGCTTAACTTTGGATTTCCTCCTATCAGACCTAACTTGTCCCCTGCTTGACCTTGGGTTCCCTAGGGGTAGAGATGATGGCATCTAGCTTTGCCTGACAAGCACAAGCACATAGAATATGCTTAAGAAATTGACCTGAGTTGGCTTCACTGATGTTTGCATCTGAGTGCCAAGGTGGGAAGGGTTGTTTTAGCCTCTTTTGTGGGTCAGTCCCCAAGCACCACGCAGTGTAGACCAAAGGGAGTTATCTCTACCTGGTACCAGGTAACCAGTGATGAAATCTTATCATGGCTTTTCTAAAAGCTTTTTGTAGTTCTTGGCCTCCACATGCAGATAATCTCTCTCTACACCATGCCCCTGGGGCAGAGTTCCAGAGTACACTTGAAAAAGCTTTTAGAAAGATGCCAATTGTGTGAACAAACACAGAGCAACCAGCACTAAGGGATCTTTTAAAATTGGCTTTGAGGGTCACCTTCAAATGGCAGAAGTGGCCGCATCTGACATCCGGGATCCTTGTCCAGGAGAAGTTGCCTCCGGGTCCCATTGGGCCTCTGGCAACATGGAGCAGAGTGGTGTGGCCCTCCTGAAGGTGCTGACCTCAGTGGAGTCCAAGCCCTGGACACTGCAGACAGGGCCCACCCCACACAGGTGTGACTGTCCCACGGGGTTCCCAGAGGTTGGGAGGAGTGAGGAAGAGCAGGCATGGTCCTGAAGTGTCGTGTGTTGTGCATTAGGCCAGGGCTCTCGGGACAGTTTCAAGCTGCGTCTTCAGTACAGGCCAGCCCTTTAACCTCTGTGGGGCTCCTTCACTTCAGCAGCAAGATATCATACAGCTGTTGCCTGTAGCTTCTGCCACTTCTCATGCATTGGCAGGGCCATCCATTTATTTATCTGTTTAACCAGGCACCTCTGTATGGCACACAGGTAGGTGGCATGCAGGCCCTGTCCTGCAGGGACAAAACAGGAAACAAGCCACACCACTCAGTGTTAGTTTTGCCCTCTGCTTGGGGGAGCGAGTACCATAAAGACAGCTGCATGTGCCTGTGGCCACCTCCCAGGGACATGAGGAGCACAGCGTCCTAGGCTCTGGAAACCTGGCTGGTGGCTTTGTGAAAGGACATGGGTATTGGGGGACATGGCCACAGTAGCGTTGGATCTGGCTGTCTGCCTAACTTCTGTTCAAACCCTTGGGTCCCTCTGGACGTCTTTACAAATCAAGTGCATGAAACTTTGGAGTCTTCTCCCCTTAGAGGGACCAATGTGTCCAGATCCTTCACATACTTGTCCTTTGGCTGCCCCAGCCTACCTCCTTCCACTTTTCAGGATTCCTTCATGCAGGTGGGCTTTCTTCCAGGTGATGGCCAGCTGTCATCGTGTTTTACACACCTGTGATTCTGAAACCCTTGCCTTCCTATTTTGCCCACCTCATCTTGACTTAATCCTGATTGGTTAGTTTGCAGCCCCCTGTCAGCCCTGGGGTATGAACTTCTCCACCAGTTTCATGGCTACAGTCCTTTGTCTCTCTCTGGCTACAGGCTTGAGAGACTCTCTGGCCTGGGCTCTGGAAAATTCTGCTTGACACAACCTCCTGCCTGTGTGCTTCTCCTTGCATTGCTGGGTGGGACTTCAAGGAGTCTTGGCCAGCCCTGTGCCCTATGCCTGACTATCAATGTCACACTCCCCTCTTTCCCCTACTTGTGGGACCCGTCCACCTTTCCAGTTCAATCCTCCCCAGTTCTTCCCGTTGCACATGTGACCTGGCATTTATCTCTTACCTCTCATCACCCATCTCATGTGGTGCCAAGGACCCATGTCCTTAGGGATGCACAAGCCTCTGCCCTCTCCTGAAGACTGTGCCTTGAGGGAACCTGGAGCTCATCTTCTCTGTGCTCTGAACCCCCATACCCACTCACTGGGGTGACAGGTGGAGCAAGCAGCCTTTGCCTCAGAGGCCACTTTGGGACCAGCCTGAACCTCTCCTAGAAAAATGGGTCAGGAGTCCTGAACCAGGAGATTCCGGGACAGGGCAGGCTTCCACCTTCACTGCAGTCAAGCTCAGGGAGGGGAGGAAGGTGGAGCCTGTTGAGAACCAGACTCTTACAAAGCACAAGGTGGACATGGAACAGGTTCCTGGTGGCAGCCCCGCCTGTACGGACACCCAAGTCCAGCTTGGAGGGGAAACAGGTCAGATGGGCCAGTGTTGACATTTCCCAGCCTGAGGATCAAGCCGGTGTTCCCTTTACCTTTGAAGTCCCCCAGGTGGAGGACTTTGTGGCCATTATCATTGTGGGTCTTAGGTAGTCTGGGTACGATTTCACTATGTTTGTGGAGTGGTCTGAGGTCGAGGGCTGACTCTGAAGTTTGGGCATCCAGCCAGAGGGAACCCTGTTTCTCTATAAAGGCCTTAAGGATGGGCACTGGCTGGATTGGTGGCCACCCATGGTCCAGGATGAGGTGCCTCGTGGTGCTCCTTGCCGTCCTGGCTCTCTCCCAGGGCAGCAATGTTACCAGGTGAATATGAGACCCTGCGAAGGGCATCCCAGGCATTCTCTGGGTGGGGTGCCCCTGGACTTCCAGACATTTGTTGCTGTGGGGAGTCTTGGGGGAGGGTGCTGTTGGCTCTGGGATAGTCACTTCTGTGGGTCTCGCCTTTGCATGTTCCCGCCAATGTGTCCCTTAGATCAAGGAGTCAGATGGGCCACCCTGGGAGATGAGGGCATAGCTTCTGGAGTCACACCGCCTGGCATTCGATCCCCAGCTCTGTGACCACTTGGATTCTCCGTGCCTCAGTTTCCTCATCTGTTATAAGATTAAATAGTACTGTCCATCTAATAGGGCCGTTATGAGGATTGTATGACCTGATATTTTTAAAAATGTTTTAGTGTCAGACACACTATCAAGGTTATATATAGATGCATTCATTAAACAAAACCAAGTTCTCTTGACTATGAAGTCCTCTGAGGGTGGACTTCAAGTTCAGGTCCCCTTCAAAAATAATAGCTGATAATTTATTGAGCTGTTAGCTATGAGATGCCGGGCACTTAACCTTTACCTACACCATTACTAATCATAATAGCTTAAGCAGGAACTGTTGTTCAGGGAGAGAGGGAGGGAGGGTCTTGAGCTGCCCAAGATCATGTAGTTAGCTAGTAACAGCAGAGCCAGAGCTTGGCCCCAGGTGGCCTGCACCCTGGCTGTGACATCACAATATCTCCAGGTGCTGGAGTTTGAGTCCTGTCACAGGGACTGAGCACAGGGAAGCCTGAGTCCCTCTCTGGGGAAGCTGGATGCCTGAAAAGGAACCAAGATGCCCAATCAGGGTGCTTTCAACCAGTCAGTGCCTTTCATGGTAGTTCTAAAAATGATGTCCCTGTCCCTGAGGGTGCTGGTAGTCCCAGCCCAGGGCCAGAGACAGAGCTATAGCTGGGGACTCCCTGGTGACTGGAGCCTCCAGAGAGGACCGCCATCCTGGTTCAGCACCAGGGGGTGTGCTGCCTTCTGACTGCTGATTTCTGAGGCCTTGAGCTGGGAGAGGTCCACCCAGCAGGAGCTCAGCTTGTTACTGGGGGAGTCGTCAGGCATTTAGCAATGAAATCCAGAGCCAGTCAGAAACTTGGAGCTGGAGCCAAGCAGAAAGCACTCTGAGGCCTCCACATGGGGACATAGGAAAGGTACCTATGGGGCTGGCCTCTGGAGCTCAGTCCAGCCCCATTCCTTGTATGTGTGAGTCCTTTTCTATCACCTGAGACAAAGGCGAGAAACATCTTGTGCACCTTTCATTTCAAAGTCAGGTCCTAGCAGCAGTCAGGTCTGAGAGCCAGGAGCGAGGGCCCCAAAGAGGAGCCCATCATTCACCCATCCATATGGGTGCATCCGTGTGGTGACTTGGATTATGAAGGATCTGAGAAAATCCGTTCTCTTTGTGAGTCTGAAAATTGATGCCGATTTATTGCTCCCAAAGTAGTTTTGAATCTGTCGTCTCAGGCTGTCCTTTAAACCAGCCCCTTCCCTGCCCCCAGAGGAGAGCCACATGTTTCTTAGAGGTGGAAGGGACCATAGGCATCTCCAAGCTCTACTGTCTACAGGTCTACAGGAGAGGACAGGTAAAGTCACCTGGTTGGCCAGGGGCAGGATTAGAACAGTAGCTGGAAAGGAAGGAGTTAAACTTTTTTTTTTTTTTTTTTTTTTTTTTTTTTTTATAGAGGAGGGACCTGAAGTTCAGAGGGCTTTGGGGAGCCACCAACATGATGCTCAGAGAGATTTGGAGACTCTCTGAGGATGAACCTTGCAGGGCTTTGAGGAGTTGCCACAGTGAATCTTAGAAGGTTTGGGAAAGCCATCAGGCGAAGCTCAGAGCGGTCAGGGAACCTCCCAAATTGTCATGAACAGGTCAGAGCCAGGTCTAGAATACGTTTCTGCTGTTTTGCCCTCTTGATTTCTTCTCTGAGGACTTAATTCCATCATCCAGCACTTAAACTGGATCAAGAGGTCCCTAGGGTCCCAGCCCTGTGCTGAGAAATGCTGTAAAGAAATTTCAACTCAGATTAGGACAGATGCTACCCAGAGAGTGGAGAGAAGGGGTTAGCAGAGGGCCGGAACATTGGCAGGATGTGGGAGACACAGTTTTCCGCTATAGATTGTGAGTTCCTGGAGGGTTGAGTTTCTATCCTTTTTGCTATCATTTTCCCCTGAGCCCTGTACAGTGTCTGGCACATAGTAGGTACACAGCAAAAGAGTTTGGTGCCCGAATGAGTGATAGTATACCTAGATCTTTCAAACATTGC